ACTGTAATTTACATTGAAGTTTACTACATTTAAATCAATGTGAAACGAGCTAAAAAGAGGTAATTTAAAATCATTATGTTCTCTTGAAACTGAAAAATTGAATAGCAAATGGTTTTATGAAACTAAATAATTAATTGATTTAATACAATACATTGCATGTATAAAATAATTTTTAAAAAAAAACGGTTTTTGTTACTTACTGAAAATGTAACTATATATTTCTATTTGGTCATGTGCCTAATTTCGTGTTGTATGTGGAAAAAGATTCCATTCAGACAACTTAAGTACGCGTACTATTTTGTGTTGCATCTTTACAGAACTTATTTTTTACAAAAGAAAAAAAAATAACTAAGTAAGAAAATAATGGTGTTTTTTTTTTAATCAAAATCAAGTCATATTTTAATATAACTCTTTTATAAATTTCTCATAAATTTTTTTTCATTCACTTTTATATTATTAAATTTAATTTGAAAAACAAGATTATTACTTTTAGAATGATTTCCATGCGCACAAATCAATTCCTTTAAAGAAATGATGAAATGTTTTTTGTAGAAATGTAAGATTTACTCGTACCTATTAAATATAATTTTGTTCATTACTTTAAAAATAAAATTTTACTAGAAAAAGCAAGAAATCAAAAAATAATTATGTTACCTTTCTTAATGCAGTATAAATATTAAGAAAGCGTAAGCGCTTAGAAAAACTGCAGAAAATGATTTTAGGAGACTAAAACTTTCATTATACATATACTTATAATTTAGCAATATTGGAAAGTTAATTTTTTTTTCAAATAACAAATTTTACGCGAAAGAGTTTATTTCTGAAATACAGCGTATTTATCAGATTTAACTTATATTTTTGTTTAGTTGAATTAATAAAAAAATCAGAATAATCACAAATAAATTAAAGAGTTCGTATTGTTTGGAAAGATAAAAAGTTGGGCAGAAATCCAGAAATACAAAACTATACAAAGATATTTTGCTCTTTAATTTATGCAAAGAAAATTAGTATTATAACTAATACATGCATTAAAATATTCATGGAAAATTCTGAAACCACATTTATAAAAATAAATAAAATCGAGTTTAAGACCTCTGGAAACTAATAAATCTAATATCAGATCCTTCTCTACTTTTTATTATAATATATATTTTCGAATTTGTTTTTATTTGAAATGAACAGTATTGCTGCCATTCTTTAAGATCACAAATTACACTTGAAAAATGCATCTCAGTGTTATTTTATTAACTGTTTAAGTATAATTTGTGGTTATTCTATTACTATTTACTCAAAGATGTTATATTATTTCTAAGAAAAACTATTTATTCAAAACCATTTAATATAAAATGTATGAAATCTTTTTTCTCCAGATTCATTTAAGCAAGTATTAAATAATGTAAATTAGCATAATTTCAAATCATAAGAATTCCAGTTTTTAATGATATAATTTTATATTTAATTACTATCGATTTGTCTTGATACTAATGTTTTGCTACCTCGTATTTTCAAAAAGTAGCAAATGAAAAAAGAATATTTTCTAACAATTAATTCAACCACATCTCAGATACTTTCTAAGATAATTATTTATTTCAAACGAAATAAAATCTTAAGCTTTATTTTGGAAAAAATGAAACTAATAAAATAAAATAAAATTTGCAAGAATGTTGGAAAAGTACAAAAATTTATAGCAAATATTATATATTTATAACAAATTTATAATTTAATCTAGATAATAGATTTCTTATGTTCATTTAAGAAACAGAAAGAATACACATTTTATTTACTATACAAATTAAAGAATTAATTTTCTGTTTATGTTGACCATTTAATTTGAAAACAATAAGTAAACATAACGAAGGGATTTTCTCTAATTAAAATACAAATTAACATAAACATACTTTTTTTTATTGAGTATAATTTCGTGCACCTTCTGACATAGCCTATTCTTTTCTACCTGCCTTCCCTTTCACAATTGAACTCGTCAGTTGTTCAGTCAATTTTATCTACACTAATTTTATTTTTATATATGTACATAAGCCAGAACGTTCTGTAGCTTCTAAGACTTTTATTCCAAATGATTTTATCGAATAAGATTATTATTCAGAATAGAAAGAAACTTAAGTTATACTGTAAAAATATCATTCACTTCGTACAAGTAAGCACATTTCATTCTTATGTTATTCCCAATTTTTATATCCTTTATTCTTAAAATATAATTGTGGTATTCTTATAATATGTAAATTTTGTTACTTTCTACAGACAGCACACACATTAATCAAATGATAAATTTGCAATATCTATTTTAAACTTTTTAACTCAAAATTAATGAGATGTCTCCATTAACATAATAAAAATTATAATTGTAGTGATAGTAATAATACTTAAAAAGCTATATAACAATAAAACCACGAAATTTATTCAATATAATTATTCAAAATAATAAACTTTAAAGTAAGTTATAAAAATAGATTCAGAACAAAAGGTTCTTTTAAGAATTAATAAATTATTAATAGTACTCACTCGATCAGTATGCTTTATTTTATTTTGTATTATAAAACCTCATTAATCTGTAGAAAATCTAGCAGAATGATTGATGTACCTCTTTCTAAAAAATAATCACATTAAAATTGAACAAAGTAAGTAATTTTTTATTCTGAAATTTTGTTAGACGACGTTGATTAAAAAAAGAAAACAGAACTTTCTTCATTACATAGAAATAATTTTCTTAGTTATATAGATCATGTGATAGAAAGAAAATTCTCATTGCCAACATAGAAAGCAAAATTAGCAGAAATTATCTCTCAGACGATTTTTTTTTATATGTATACTGCATTTTTTCCTGAACAAATAATATATAATTTACAATATTCTTAAAGGAACAATTCGATGAGTGAAAGGAGGAGGATTTATGAGGATTTTAATCATTTGAAACAGCTACTGATTATTTATGGATAATTTGAATTTGTATTCCGAAATAAGGAAAAAAAAAGGCCTTAAGGCAAAGTAATTTTGCAAAGAACCATTTTATCCATCAAATATGATATATATATATACATGGTTTCTATAAGGCAAATTTTTAAGACAATTTTGAAAAAGTGAATTCAAAATTCTACAAAACCTAAAACAATACATTTCGTACGCACAACAATCGAATTAAATTTTTCTCGACAACGATTATGCCACTACGATTATATTTCAGTTATAAGATCACTAAATTGGCAACCTCGGCAATTAAGTTTCACCAAATCCACTGTCTTATACAAAAATTTCAAGCAGAAAAATCGTTTGACTAAAAATTATGCCAAAAAGCACGCCAAATGTCGAAGAAACTTCTCGTGAAAAACTTAAGTCTTTCAACTGTAACAAAATTCTTAACAATATGATTACTCTTCAATTTCTTCGTATGTTCCTAATTACGTATAAATTTCTACTGAATTATTAAGAAATATGCTTAGTTTTTGTTTCAATTTTACTTTAACCCTATAAGAATTATCAAAAATATGTATTAATATTCTAGCATATTTTTGAAAATCAAGCTCATTATTGGTAAAAGCAGACATTTGAAAAGAGTGGATCTTGTAACATGCATGTTACAATGGGCAATGCACAGAAGAAATCGAATTTTGCCTCTCTCATATATGATTAATTAACAATTTTAATTATTAACTTGTTAGTTAACAATTTTAAATTATTAAGACATTCTTAAAGTTATATTACAAAAATCCTATATACAAAAAAAGTTTTATTTATAAGTAATGGAAATTAGAAAATACAACTTGCATTTACACTCTTCACGAATTCCCTGTTTTTATTTTATATAGTACGAGTTAAAAATGGAAAAAATAATTTGAACACAAGTTATTTGGGAACGAGATTAAGACGAAAAATTCCATAAAAATAAATATCATTGATTAAAAAATCTTTATTGTTATTTATGAATATGTATTTATTATTATAAAAATGTAAGTAACACATTTCAAAATTTTTATTAAAAATATGTTATAAAATACTGTCTTTAGTTTGATACAGAAATGGAAGAAGCATTTCATTACCTTAAAGTTAAAATAAATTTTTTCAGTTCCACGGCGTAAGACTTTCGGAATATTTTTCTATTCTAAAAAAGGTTTGTTCGTTGAAAAATAATCTAATATTTTCTGTTTGTGTTTTAAAGCCTGTTATATTTAACTAAAATTTTCTCATTTTTTTACTTTTCATTTAATTAAAATTTAGACTCAAGTACTGAAAAATATAAATAAAAAATAATGCGCAAGTTTTTTTATTAAATTTTAAGGAAAATAAATGTTTTATGAACGTTAAAAACAAAGTTTAAATATATTTTCAATTCAAAATTACTCATAATTCCTTCACGAAAATTATTTTAAAGAAAAATGACTACCTATCGTTTTTAAACTTACCAATTTAACTACAATACTAATTATTAAAAAACAAATTGAATGGCATTATTAAAACTGAAGCATGGAAATAATAGAAAACATTTTCAGTTAAAAGGAAATATAAGTTAGGTTTTGGTAATGATTAGCAATGTAATAATTTTTTCCTTGAAAAGAAATATCTCAATTAAAATAGTTTTTACAACAGTTTCAGAAACAAGTATTGCTTGTATAAATAAAAAAATTTCTGTTCATATTTTATTTTTATCTAAATAAATACTTTTTTAAAAAATATATACATAAATTCTTAAAACATTTAAAAAACAAGTAATAAAAAAAATTTTTTTAAGTCAATTCCTCCTTAGGTTAACAAAGAAAAATTTTATTTTAGTTTTTATTAAATCATTGTTATTAATATAAATACGTATATACATATGACAGAATCACACTATTCAGTGGCAAAATAGAAAGCGATTTTCCATTTTCCTTTCTGTATAGGCTATTAGGGCTATTTTATTTTTGTGTTTCTTACTATTTATTCATTCCCTAAGTTTAATTATTCCAATAAAATAGAATAGTAAAAAGAAATCACATTCTCAGAAATTAGGCCATCCCCGATGGGATTCGAACCCACAACCTTTGAACTAGAAGTCCAACGCGCTATCCATTGCTTTACAAGGACACAAAGAACGATTTTCCTTTTTATATAGGGTGTTGGACTATTACTTTTGTTTGTATTACTACTTTTTCATTACTTAAATTTAATTAATGAATTAATATTTGAAAAAATTGTATTAACATCAAGTGTCATCCACTACCAGTTTAAAAAAATGTATTTGAACTTGGATGGATGAATAAAAAGTATTTTATTTGATTGAAAATCTGAACAAGATATATATAAATATATATATATATATAGGGAGAGTGCGAACTAATAGTAGGAATTGAAAAAACATATGCATGTCATTTTACATCCATATATTAATCTATAAGCAGCTGCAATATCTTTGACATAGCATTTTGCAACTTTGTAAAGTTGATAATTTATTTAAAATATTCTCCTTTAATGGCTTCGCTTTAACGCAATTGTTTGCACTCAAGATCAGTAATAATAGCTTCTCCTATAATATCAACCTTTTCTTCTTAAAACAATTTATCTTACTCTTCCAACTCTAAGTTCTCCATTATCAGTCTGCCTCTAACAAACAACAGATATGCGATTACTTCATTTGTCATTTCGAACAGCCTGCATTTTCGTTTTTGTCCAACGGTTCTTCCATTACGCATTCATTCCGAATCTCAGATAACACTTCATTGTGAAATTCTAGTGCGAGACTGCTAGACAACCCTTTGCAATTAAGTTTAATCATCAATGGAGCTTTTAATTTTGATTTTCTTATCTTTTTTTTTTTTTTTTTTGCCGTAAATCAAATGAGACATTTACATTTTTAAGTCATTATGATAATTACGCAGAATAAATGTATTCGAAAAAGATTAAAACTGTTTCAAGAAGCCCTAAATATTCATCCAATATACTTTGTATACGGACAATGTAGATTGTAAGTTGATGGGGAACATTAGAGAAAAATAAAATTGGACGACACAATTTTAAGATACACTGAATATAGAGAGTTATGTTAAAAAATATCTAGCAATAATTTTTCGTGAGTAAGCAAATGAACTTGGGGAAACATATGATTCATATATGCAAGCATTTTTAATGCTGATGTGAATTCATCCTCATGTAATAGAAGCTGTCAGTCAGTGGTAGACCACCGATGAGTGTAAGTGAGCCCCGCCAGTTTTGTTTTCAACAGAAATGGCAAAAAACTTGTGTATCACTACTGCATTAACATTTGTCATTTGCACAACTAGTTACACCTCTTGACAATCCAAGAGAAATAAAGTAAAGGGGAAGAAAAAACAGTATTGTTACGTAAATGCGAGGGTTCGGGGATTTTATGCAAAACACTCACAAAGAAAATAAACAGTTCTTTAAGAGCGATGCGAATTTATTATCAAAAATCCAATCCTGTAAATACAGGATTCAGCAGCAATATTCACAGAGTAAATATCCGAAGGTCTTCACACCTTCAACAGCAATCAAACACAATAACCAGTGTTTAAAAATACACGTAAGTAAAGATTATTCACAAGCACAGCCGAGCTAATCACTAGTCAAAACAATCCTCACTATTTGCTGGTTTAATCCAGACTCATCATCGTTCCGGCGAGCATCTTTTTTATAGGCGCGACAGAAACTTCCAGAAATATAACAGCTCGTGCCATTGAACGTGACACTAGTGGAGAGATCTACTACTTTCTACAAGATTCCAGAGGGTTCCGAACTCGCCAACATGGTCACCAATGACGCCAAAAGGGTCGCCAAAGCCGCCAAATTGGCCACCAACTTGGTCGCCAAAAATGATGCCAACTTGGCTCTACCGCCAATATTTCGCCAAGTTCTCATTGAATCGCCATTATAACGTAAGGGGCGGCATTGCTTGTGAGTAGCACATTTTTAACATGAAATAAATATAACAAAGAGTAATATAAATGCATTAAACACTCTCAAATACAAATTATTTACACTATTTACACAAAATTCGTAACAGTATTTATTTTGAATTTTCAGATAATAACATCACAATGAAAGAATGATCTATTTATTTGTGATGTTTTTTACAAATATAATGTGCCTGCAGACTCGTGGATGGAGTTGTAACTGTCGAGTCAAGAGCTTGCGATTCCCATTGTTACAAACGATCCAGTGTAAAAGGGCTGATGTATGTTAAATCTGTCTTGGCTCAAAGTCCTTCCATTGTTGCGATGTGGATGCTTGAAGAATGGAGTGCCAGCTCAGGTATCCTCCTCATTACTTGATCATGGTTAAAAATTACATTGTCAATTGCCGATGCCCTCATGTTGTAACTTGTGACGTTCATAAACAGTCAATCTACACTATTAAAATTCATAGGTAAACAAACGTATGTAATTCTATCTTCTCACGAAACGACGCACCCTCGCCAAAATCAAAAATTCTGGGCCGAGGAATCTGTTTTATCATTTATATTCTGATATTCCAATTGGGTTAAAAGATTTTTAAAATCTTAAAACCATGATTAATTTTTTCCCACTAGGCCGGGGAAAATTAAATCCCGACCTGTTTTTTTTCCCCAGAGGTTTTTTAAACATGATCTAATTTCTTTCATGAGACTTAGACAAAAAATAATTACAGAATCGAAAAAAATCTTTAACTTTTCGTGATATAAATTTAAATTTACAAAAAAACCATATTTACTGTTTTTTACGATTTTCTTAAAATGAGTCAAAATCGATACGTTTTTATTAAAATGATTTCTAAATCGTTCGGTTTGCATTTTCTTTCGTGCTAACGAAAAAATATTTTACATTAAAAAAGTTCATGCTTTTCTCTTTTAGAATCAGTCATTTAAAGAATTAAATGTCAAAAACCGGGTTTTTTTTTTTTTAGATACCCTTTTTTTTTCAATACGAAAAATTTATCTCTGACCGTTAATTTAATATTTTTATACTTGTTGGATTCATTGCAATTTTAGTTGAAAATTTTACAAATATAATTTTAGTTAAAAAAAAATACACGAAGCTTGGATGAAATCGCAAGCAATTACACTTTACGAACATTATTAACTAAAAAAAGTGAACGCACATATTGCTGCACATGTTTAGGAGCGTTTCAATGGCATAATCAGAAGGAGTCAGAATCTTCAAAAACATTATAAAAGGGTTAAATCAGTAACATTAATTAAGATTATTTATTACCTACTTTATAAATTTTTACTCCAACTTGAGAATTTAGATCCTCGACATGTGAATTTAACCTTTTAATTGGTTTGTACGTACTCTGTACAGCCACTGATATTTTCTTCTTTCTATTTTTGATTTGCAGATATTTTTAATTTTTATAGTTATATTATTGGTACTAGTCTTGATTTGTATGAGACACACTCCCTATTCTACAACAGGCTAAAGGTCTCGTCATCTTTTGTGGCTCAAAGCAGCCTTCCAGGCAATTCTAAATAGAGGTTCATGGATCACTGAAGATTTGCTCTCGTCTGTTTAGATTACAGGAGTTAGATAAAGTCGGCTTTTTCAAATAGTTACCTACACATGTTGACATTACAGGCAATAAAAATGCAGATAAACTGGTGAAAGAAGCTCAAAATCTTAATAATGACAAATTTGTCAACGTTGCCTTATTAGATGCAAATGTGCTGTCTCAAATTTTTCATTTGAGAGAGAAGTCAATTCCTGTAAAGCATTAAATCTGTAATGTAAATGGAGACCGCCTTATAACAAGCATTGCATAAAAACAGGTCATCACGAGGAAAGAAGATTATAGGGATGGTAGAAGGTTTTACAGGAATTGTGAAAACTTTTTTAATACAGAGCAAACACCTGCTCATATTTTAAGTTATCTATTCTTGCTTCCCTACAAGAAACAGGAGTTCTGTTTTCGTCAACAGACCTCTATGTCAGTGTTTTCAAACGGGGGCGCCCCCCTGGGGGGCATAACCCTTCAAGGGGCGCGAGCATATCAAAAATGGTTTAAAAAAAAATTAATTGACGGGAATAAAAAAAAATACTTTCTGATATAAAAAAAAATACAGATTTACTTGATATGATTTATATATATATCTGGTAAAAAAAAGGTAATCAAAAAAAAAAAGATTTACTTTGAATGTCATTGCTATCTTTGACCCTATAACAAAAAAAAAAATATTTTGTTTGCTTTACTGTAATCCTCATAGAGATTTTTTTTACGTTTTTTTTTAATCAAAAAATATTATTTTTGCTGGCTTTCAAACTTACTGGTATGGTTACCTGCACCCCTTTTTTGGGGAAGTTTAAATTATATAATTCTGTTGGTTTTTTTTTACAATGTGAAAAAGTTTTATGATACATGTATAAGCATATTGAGCACTTTGAAGGATTAATTGACCCAGAATTATTTTTTTGGTATACTGAAACATATAATACAAAATCGTTAATTCTGAGAAACGTTTATTTTTTACCAATGACCTTGTCAGAGAATCCTCTAATATGGCAGTCTTAATGGGAGCAAAATGAATTGATAACATATCTCCTTTTTTTGGGAAATGGCAAACGTTTTTTTTGAATCTTAAGGTACTTTTTTAGACCGAGTTCCCGCACGACCACTATTTTTCAAGAATATTTTCTTTAACATGCTGCATTTACCCCATGAATAACTTAGTGGGTTTTTAAATTTTGATGTTTTACGACTATTATGGTTTATAAATGTAAATGACAGAATATAAAAATAATTGGGCTCTGGGATCTCTCTGAAAGAAATTGAAGCTGATCAAACAAGGGGAAAAATTTGCGAAATAATGCATATTAATCATGTTAGCAAAATAAATTTGGGAAAACAATAAACATGGAAAAAGAAAAAGGGAAAATTTTCAATAGCTAATTAAAAACTTTATCAAGAAAATATGAACCATAAGTGTACCCAAAATCACTTCACCCCCTCGAAAAGACACAAGCAAGAAAAAAAACCAACAGGATATTTGTCGATCATCAAAGGACTTTAAAAATTTCAATAAAATGAACAAAAAGTGACAGTTTTTCTTGCAAATAACTTACCTGTAATTTTAGCAAAAGTGTTGGATTTGTGTCCTT